GGTTAGATCTTTAAATTCCTGCTTTCAATTTCTCCATTGTTTTCTACCTTTTCATTGTGGTTTGATGCCTTTTTTGTTACCAGTTCAGCTTTCTGTTTATTTAAGATGGGGTCCACCTATGTTGCTTAGATTTAATTTAATTTCAAGATCCTTTTGCCTCTGCCTCTGAAGTATGGGATCACAGGCCTATGCCACCGTAGCCTATGCTGGGTGTATTTGGAGAAACCCTCCTTATATAGGCCTCCTTAGAATATCCTTATGAATACTGACACTTAGCTATGGACACATTTTTATACTTTATGCATAATTTGTGTTTTTGGAAGCATCAGCTGTGGGGGTCCTTAAAAAGGTTGAGCTGATAACATCCATCACAAGACTGTCCCCCACTGGATACTGTGAGTCAGGGGCCTTTTATTTGGAGATATGGCTCAACCTGGCATACTGGCAGGGCGGAAAGCTGCCAGAGGTGTAGGCAGGGCTAAGATATATGAGGTGTACATAGATACAGACATTCTGTTTTCTCCTTCCTTATTCCCAAGTACTTTCTACTCTGCAGGGACGTTTTAGAACTTGATAATGAACTGACCAGTGAAGATATTCAGATTCTCACAGGTTAATCTTCCATAGTTGTGAACACCTGACTTACAGTTTTATAATTCTAAAGGTCATGTCAGGTCAGTTGGTAAAGTACTTGCCACTCGACATGAGGACATGAGTTCATATCCCTAGAACTCACATTATTTGCTTGCTAGTCTTAAGAGGTTCATATATACTATTATTTTATAAGTATTATATAGTCACACAACAAAATCTTATTTTGTGGTTTAAAGTTTTAGCCTCATGTATTGGTGAATTTGAAAGGAACTAGTGGAATAGTGCAAATGGACTGATAAGCTGTGCAGTCACAACCTGGTTCTGACAATGAAATTTGACTTAAACAATGGCCGTGTTCATTATATAATCTACAGAGTACTCCCTTAGAGTACACACAAAGCATTCTATTTACAGTTAAAAATACCCCCAAAAGGAAAATATTAGTTTTAGCTATGTAGACAGATGTGGGAATTTCACTTTGTCAAATAATGTTTGTTTTTATTATAATACCATTACAGTGTTTAGAATCTTGAGAAACTGAAGTACTTATTAATGTACCCCACGAGCCACGGAAATAGCTTACATCACTTGATACATGCTAAAGTGTTCTCAAGATGCTTGCGAAACCCTTAAGTATCAGAATTCTAATATATATGTCGCCACTCACACCTCCAGTCCCAGCTACAGCTGCTAGAGTGGCTGAAGCAGGGGGATAACAAGTGTTGCCTGGCCTACAAAGTGTGTTCGAGGCCTGCCTGTCTCTCTTATGGGGGTGGTGACTCGGGATGTAGCATAGTGGCATGTAAACTACACAAGCTAGCACGCCCATGGCTATAGGTTCAGTCACAAGTGCCTTTGAGAGAAGTCTGTTGAAATTGTATTCTACTGCAGGTCAGCTGCTTTTTTTTTTTTTTTGGAAAAATGCAACACCTAGAATTTTTACGATTAATGAATTTATGTTTCTAAACTGTACACTCTCCTGGTTTGCGTGGCTATGAAGGTAGTTGTGTTGTGTTCAGATCCACTGGGAATTTCCACCATGTTTCCCTCTCCTTGGAAGGTCGGCAGATTGATGTGTATGCCTAGCCAGGTCATGTAGGAGCCAAGGAAGAAGCTGCCCAGAGACCCTGGCACTGAGAGTCTTCCATTCCTACCCTGTTAACACACATGGCCACACCCTGAAGGAGACAACAGCCACCCAGAAGGAGACAACAGCTTTAAGATAGCTACAAGAAGTCTACTATTGCCTTATAAATCTCAAATGATATCATACCTTTTGAAATTAGGAGTTTTGCTGCCCTTGGATTTGACAGTCACCTTGTGGTTTTTCAGAATGATGTCCTTATTTGTCCCGGATCTGTTTCTCAGTTGTACATCAAGATTTGTGGTTATTTTCTGGGCTACAATTTCAAATTTCATTCATATTGACTGGTGCTTTAGTAGGAGAATAAAGGAGTGTTTCGACAAACAGATATGGAACTTTAAAGATACGTGTTAAGTGCAAATAACAGTTGATTCCCACCTCCCCCACCCATCTCTATTGTTTATACAGTTTGTTAGGTATTTAATGGTACTTGAGACAAGTGGAATTTCCAGTGTTCTGCTGTGCTGGGTTTCTGTGTATACAGACGACAAACAGAAGTCTCTTGGGCATTAAAGAAAGCTCTTCCTCTTTAAATAGCAGACAGAAACGATGGTTTAGTTTTTTTCTTAAATCCCGGTTGAATTACATGTGTAATTGCTGTATTGATCTATGTGAATAAGGACCCGGTCTTTCTTCTTTACCTTTTTAAAGACACATGCTGACAACCTGGCTTCCACATGTGTCCTCATCTCTGGGTAGTGGGAAAATTAGGCGAGCATATGGCCACTTCGCTCGCCAGTGCGTCCCAGAGCAGTCGCTGGAGCTGGAGGGCCAGGAGGAGGAGCCTTTTTGCAAGGCTGAGTTCCCTTCCTTTTCTCTCCGCGGAGGTGCTGAGCGCCGGCTCTCACTCAGCACTCCCGAGCTCCAGCTGCAGGCTGCGGCCAAACAGACGCGGATTAGCCGCAGCCTTCCGGTGGGGTGCCCTCCAGGAAAGCCGGGGCCATGGGCCAGCTTTGCTGCTTCCCCTTCGCCAGAGAGGAGGGCAAAATCTGTAAGTACCGCTTACGCCTGGCTGAAGCCGCGGTGCTCGCCTATAATGTGGAGGTAGCCTTAGGGTTAGCTTTGGGCTTTCCCCGTGGGAATCAGCAGGAAAATGAGCTATGGTTCTCAAATGTGTGTATAATGCAGTTGTGAAAGTACAGTGATAAGCTAACACTGGAAACTCATTCCTGATTGTCCTCTGCTGATACTCGTATAGCCCTGTTTCAAGGCACTATCTAGCCAGAGTTTAGTTTTGAGTTTCTTTAAATCACTGCATTCGGTTCGTACATTATACAAGTCAGAGCCCCTTCCTGGGGGCTGAAACTAGCGAGCTTTGGGAGCAACATTCAGTCATAGCATGCCGGGGTGCTGTTGGTTCCAAAATGACGAGGACTGGACATTTGCAGATACTTTCACTTGTCCTTTGCTTTGTTCTTGCTGGAGGGTTCAGGTGTAACAGGGAAGCCACATCAAAGGAGTGGTGCTGCTTTGCCCTCGCCAAAATCTGGGTGAAAAAATATGCTAAATATTGTATTATAATACATTTTAGCAAATGTCAGATAGATTCTCTATCTGCTTCTGGCCCATGAGGAATTCAGGTAGTGGTGTGCACATCTGAAGACCCCCCCCCCCGCCAAGGCTTGCATGCATTCACTTACATTCTAGCTTGTGTGTAGGCTGCTGGCTTTAGAATTAGTGTGAACGAGCTGTCTTTTGCTACTTACCCGAAATAGGGAATTTTATTTCCCTTCCAATGAAGTCTTTCCAGTCATACCTCTGAATTTGCAGCGTCTATCTGTCACACCAGTGTGAATCTCAAGTAGGTTCACAGAATTTCCTATCTAGCTCAGCTATTCTGAAGATCCCCATCTGGTTTGTGTTTCCTGCCTTTCGTTCCTTAGAAAACCAAGCAAGGGCAGGTTTAAGAAGTTCGTAGACATTCCATGCCCGTTATTCCCATGGGAGTCCAGTCAGTTTTCCTAGGAAATCCTTGGGGGAGGACTTTGGAATAAGCGTTGAGAGACTTTGGAGCATTCAGCTTTTAACAAGGGCCAATAAATGTCTCTGAATTTACTTACGTGCAGTGTGACAGACCTGCTTTTATAACCCAAGACACACGAGTCACTTTCTAAGAGTCAGCACAAGCACTGACTGGACGGTTGGACACTTTCCAGTGTGTCAGAATGGCTTATCTGTTGTTCTGGAGATCTGAACGCATGCAGTCACTTTCTGGAGGCCATTCCTGCCTAAAAAGCCTTGGTGTGGACAGATACAAGGACAGGAGTTCCTGTCTGATCCTCACTCTGTGCCTCCTGTTCTTTTGTGTGGGCTTTCCGCCTGCATGGATTTGCTTTTGCTTCTGTCTGTGAGCAGTCTTCTTGATCTCAGTGTAGTGAGTGTGTATCTCTTGCTGTTCTTATCCGGAACTGCTGGCGTGGTTTTGTGTTTTTAGACACAGTACTTCTAAAACTGATTTATAAGAAGTTCTCTTTAATGCTTTTTGGGTTCCCTTTCTCAAGTTCCAGCCTTCCTAAAGGAAAATGGAAATAGCACTCTGTGTCTGAAGAACGTTCATGCCCTACTTCCTCTCCACTCTCACCCAAGCTGACCCCTGGTCTTGCATATCCTTCCACATCATTCTTTCTCCTTCCTGTCTTTGGTTTTTGTCTTGACTTCATTGTTTTTTCCCTCCACACTCATTTACACATCTCATGCACAATGCGTGTGTATTGTAGACCAGCTTCTGAAGCTGTATTTAATTTCTACAGAGTGGTCTAAAGAGAAACCATGTTGGGCGTGGCTATGCTGTCAATAATATATGCCTAATGGGACTTACCAAGTGGGGGTGGGTGTTAAAACGTGGAAGAGATTTCATTGCCCAGTGCATCTCAAGAAGAGTATAAGTCAGCTCTGACTGGACATATCCAGTCCGTAGTTGTATTGGTAATGCATGGGGAAAAAAAATCTACAAAAGGCATTCGAGAGGACCCAGAGTCATTTTGCTCTTGTGACTGGGCTGTACAGTCACATCTAAAGGCACAGGCACAGTTTCTTGCTGTGTTCCCAGATACTGAGTAGCGTTGGCAGCCTGCTCCAAGGCAGCTGCTCTTTGAGCATCTACTGGGGGCAGAGCACAAAAGTGCTCCTGTCCATGTCCTTCCCCTACTTCTGTCATAAAGGGTCATGACCCTGCACTGGTTTTCCAGAGGGTAGCTCAAATTAGAGAGCAATGGGATTTTGGCGAAAACTTCAATTTGTGGGTGTCATTCTCAAAACACAGGTGAGTTGGGAAGCCCATCCTCCGCAGTCCTACAGAGATACAGCAAGGATAGACCCAACGGGCCGAGTGGTAAGAGTCAAGTGGTACCTCTCTCCTCTTCCTGTTTTACCTTGCTCTGGTCCTTTGGTGGTGGTGCTGGTGGAGGAAAGGGATTCTAATTTAATTGATTCATTAGTGCTACCATTTAAATCAATTAATAGCAAGCAAAATGATTCTCTAATCAACCAGCTGTACAAAGGCCCAAGTTCACGCTGAAAGTTATCTGTTCGTACCTGGAATTCTTGGAAATGGGGTAATAGCAGAAAGCATCATGGTTCGTGTACCAGGTGATCAGCTACAAGCAGCAACACCATTTTTGTCTGAATCCCAGTGGTTGAACACACACACACATACACAGACACACGCACACATATATTGTTTTGGATCACAGTCAATAGAATATATTGAAAAATTGGTTGATGATTCTTAGAAAATTCTGTTTATATATTCTATCTGGGAATATTCCTGACATTAAAATCATTGCTGATGTGGTAGCAATAACAGATATTTTAGCTATTTTTCAACATAGCCTTTTTCATAATTCAAAAAATTTCATAGAATTTTTTTTCTAGGACCTTTTTCCCCCTTAAATTACCCAATTGTCAGTAGTCTGAGAAGCAGTCACTTTGCCTGAACGAAAGTGGCTTGGCGTAGGTGTACCTACTACCACGTAATTTCTTATTAAGGAAATCTCAATGGAAACATGACAATAATACACTGCTATAACTAATTAAGCACCTCGATAACTTATTGTTTAGCGTTTTCATTGTTCTTTTCCCACTGCGCATTTTTCTGTTTGGGAACACTCTGCCTTTGTGTAAATTTAGTAGGTAAATGGCCACAGATGGCGTGAACTGCGAATCAAGGCAGGTAGTCTGTTACTGCAAGTGTGCAAGCGTAAGGGGGCAGACCACTCATCACTAGGGATTTTACAAGGGCATTGGCCAATGAAGCAACAGGCCGACAACTCAGTTACTCTCCGCATTGGGGTTCTGTGATGCTGCTCTTCTGTTTTCTACTTTACATGGCGTCATGGTTACACTTCACATGTCTGCTCCATCTTAGCACGTGGGTTCCCAGCACCTCACATTCAGGACATGGTATGTGTTCCTGCAGTTGCGCCAGACTCTGAAGATGTCTTACCCCCAGGGGCCGTATTGTGAGTGCTTGTCGATGAAGAGGATGGTACTAATTTCCCGTTGGGCTACAAGTGTGGGAGAGCCTGGGATGCCTATGTTTAAAAGCTATGGGCAGTTGTTGTGGTAGCAGAGATGAGTTAATAGTTAAGAGCATATGCTGCTCTTCCTTATTTTACTTTTATTGAAAACAGATCTTTTCCTACACAATGTATTCTGGGTATGGTTTCCCTTTCCAGCTCCTCCCAGTTCCTTTCCACTTCCACACTCTTCCTGTCTCTCCTCAGAAAGCAAACAGTTATCTAAGGACTAATGATGAAATAAAATAAGATAAACCCCAAACCATTTGGAATAGGACAAAGAATAAAAAAAGGAAAAAGAGCCAAAAAAAAAAAGCACAAGGAACATGTGCAGACGCAGAGACATAATGTGTTCCCACACCAGGAATCCTATAAAAGCACAAAACCGGAAGCCATAATATATACGCAGAGGACCTACCTGTAAGGTTAAAAAGAAATGCCCTGACACAACGTTATGAGACAAAGATCCAAAGATGCCATTGAGTTTGTTTTGTGTTGGCACCTACTGCTGGGCCTGGGGCCTGCCCTTAAGAGTGGTGTGTTTCCCCAGTGAGACTCTCTTGGAGAAAAGCAGTTTTTAATGTGAAAGTGGTTATTAATTGGAGATAGCTTCTGGGTTGGGGTTGGGAGCGTGTGTCCGCTTCTCTCAGCCCTGGAACCCCATCTGGTGCAGGCCCGTGCACCCTACCTCAGTCTCTGTGAGCTCATGTACAAGCACATACTGTTCCTCCAGAGGACCCCGGTTTGGATCCCAGAACCCACACTGGGAAACTTATAACTGCCTGTAACCCCGGGTTCAGGGGACTCTAACAGCTGTGGCCTCTGAAAGCGCTTGTGTCCACACAGCCAGCCATCTCACACACAATTAAAAATAAATCATAAATAACAACAATAAAACTCACAATACCTCCACCCCCTAAACCATACTAATGACAAGATAATAGTTTTTTAACCAATCAATCAAACCAACAATCTAAAACTACTATGGAGCTGGAGAGATGGCTCAGCAGTCAAAATCACTAGCTGCTTTTCTAGAGGATCAGAGTTTGAATCCTAGTACCAACCTCACAACTGCCTGTAACTCCAGCTCCAAGGAATTCAGTACCCTCAGTTGGCCTCAATGGGCACAAATGCACATGTGGCATGCATTCATGCAGACACAAAAACATAGTTTATTCATTCCCCCATTTGCTTCTTAGGGCTAAAAGGCCAGGGACTATAGGACTCATGCAGATACGGCTTTTTTAAAATCTCTCTCCTTTCTCTTTCTCTTTTTCAACTTCCACTTTGGCTTTTTTTTTATTGGATGCCTATCATCTGCCAGGTACTGTGCCAGAATTATTTTCAAAATGTTCATGAGCTACAATTATTAGATATATGCTTCCCGGCTGCCTTGTTTCCGAGGGAAAATTATTGGCAGCCAGAGAAGTAGGGAATTTCTCAGTTATAGTCCTCTGGGATGTTGGGACTAACGCTGGCAGAAAGCCTGGATCCCAGGCTGCTCAGTATCTATTACCCCTTCTGACGCAGAGAAACTGGTGTATGGTGTAATCCGACACTGCACCGTGCATAAAATCTCTTTGGGTAATGTGGTGGTGGTGGCCATCATGTCATATATTGTAAAACATTTAGCCATAGTCAATACTGATTAGATTTTCCCCTGGCTAAGTGATGTCCGCCCAGGAGGTTTGTTTCTAAACTTGAGTATGGGAACGTGAGAGCAGAGACCAGCAGTTACTGCTCTTGTTCCACTCCTGCATGTGTTAGCTCTGCAGGCTGTGGCGGCACACTGGATTTCCTTTCCTTGGTCTCAGGACTTTTGAACATTGCAGGAAATGCTGGATAATTTTCCTTGGGAGAACCTGAGTTGTAGGATTATTCCCAGTCTTCAGGGCAGCCATCAGCTGCTGTTAGCCACCTGCAGATGTCCCGTTCTCCAGCAGTGTGCCGTGACCCGTCCTTTAGTCCTTTTTCCTGGGGGCACAACAGAAAGGAGCCAGGGCTTCTGATGGATCGCGTTTTCTGACAGTGTGCTACGACCTCATAGTCTCAGAGGAGTTTCAGGTGCTCGTCTAAACCTCACAAACCTTTGAAGGCTTGTGGGAAAGCGTTTCCCATAGATTGTTTAATGGTGGCTGTTTTACCCACAGTAAGGAGACTCGGAAGAGCTTCTAAGTGTTTAGTGTCATGTGGTAGGACCACGCAGGTTTTTGGGGACAGACTGACCCAGTTTGTAATTTTTGTTCTGATATTTACCGTTTAACTTCTTTACTCTGTACCCTGATATTAAGTAGTATATACCTGTCATGAAAGTTAAATAACCAAGATTTGGCGAATATTTATAGCATGCCTGCCTGCTAGCTGTCCTTCTTTAGTATACTTGGTGAGTGTGGATTTTCTACAATATCCTTTCTTTGGAAAATTCCCGACCTGTGTTTCCTAGGTCCTATCTATCATAATGCTTTGTTTTCTACCCTGGGAGAAAGGTGTGGTCCATACATTCTCAACCAGTTTTCTTAAGATTCAATAAAGAGCCATTTTAAAACAAACTCTCAAAGATAATAGAAGAGCCTGGGAGGAAGAAAGACCACGTCTGAGACCTTCTCCCCTCCCTCCATAAAGCAATATATACTTGCCCATTCTTTGTTGAACTTAGTTCCTTAAACTTTTATCACCTGCAGCTACAGACTTTGGACATATTCTAGTGGACTTTCCATGTGTATGGTAGGTATGACTCCCTAGTTCTGCCAAGATGACTTAAAATATAGCTGTGATTATACAGTTAACACATTCTCTTTGTTGCCAAGAAGTTATATTTACCAAGTTTATTATGTGCCAAACTCCAGTGTGTATTCTGGTAGAAAGATCATTAACCCCAGTAAAAAGTGACAACTCCCTAACTACCCCCCTCTCCCCCTTCCCGCCCCCAGACAGGGTTTCTCTGTGTAACCCTGGCTGTCCCAGAACTTACTTTGTAGACCAGGCTGGCCTCAAACTGACAGAATCCACCTGCCTCTGCCTCCGGAGTGCTGGGATTAAAGGCAGGCACCACCACTGCCTGGCCATTCCCTGACTTCTTATAAACGCCCATTCTGCATTTGGCTACAGTGAGATCTGGCCTTTTGTGAGAGGCGCTCAGCAGAACGTGTCCTGTTTCAGCTCACATGGCTGAACATTCCTTCTGTGGAAAGTTGACCAGCTGTCCAGAGGACCCGGGGATGAGTGAGGCAGAGTTGTTACTGTTGGAGGCTTCTTTTTCAACTTACATGACTTTTTAAAGCAGAAAGCTGATGGATTTATTTTATTTTATTGTCCTCTCAGTAGTACAAGTCTTTTCTGTCTAGCGGGTGATGCCACGCCCTTCCTAGGCCAGGAAGGTTGCAGAACCAAGTCAGCCAAGGCCAGGCAGAGCAGGTTAATTGCCACAGAGACTGGCAGTTGCTTTAAGCCGTTCTTATAGGTGGCTTTTACAACCTGACATGAGCAAACACAGCTTCTACAAAGCACATTTTAGGAAATTAATTGCCCCATGACGAACATTCATAATGTCGGAGTTAGGAGTTAACAGACCTTGGAACTATTAAAATAAATCTTTCATTTGGGAAATAGTCATAGACAAAACTTGAAAAAAGGAGTAAGTGTAGCTTGCGTTTAAATGCTGTAGTAACTGGGGTGTAAATGCTAGGTTCATTATAAGTCAAATAAAATACATTTGAAACATAATTTTTTGTTTCCATGTAGTGTTTTTTTAACTTATTAATTCAGCTAAGGATGTTTATAAACATATGATACATGTATGAAAAACCAGGGGAGA